AATATTAGTAAATTTACAAAGAAATCTGCTATTATAATAAAAAAAAATAACCTATATTTCTCATAACCAGGTGCGGAGAAAGCATTGTTCCGTGCATTAAAGACTCGTTCCAATACACCGAAGTATGGTCTGTTATATCATTCGACATTCATCGGGCGAGCTGGTCTGAAGAACAAGGGTCGCATCAGTCGCTACCTCGCCAACAAGTGCTCCATTGCCTCCAGGATTGATTGCTTCTCCGGTAAGTTGCAAAGCACAAGTGCCAATCTTACTAATATTAAAAATGTGACTGTTTAGATGGATGTTTGTGTGAAGGTATCTCCAGAACGGCTGAATGGATTTTGATGAAATTTGACATACATATAGAACATAGTCTGGAAGAACATATAGGCTATTAATTATGTTTGTTTTTAATTTCGTACTGAGGGAGTCGCAGGCGACAGCTAGTAGTCTAATATAATGGTTAATTTATGTTAAGAAAACAAAAAACTTGAACTTAATGTGCAAAGCTAAGTGATGTTCTGTTCAAAAGTAGAAAAAATTCAAAGTAGAATCTGGAATCTTGTTTATGAAGGTCGTTTGTTGGAACCAGACTATGATTCTTGCTTGATTTCTCACTCATATATGTTTAACTGTATTTCCGATGGAAGGAATAAGTTTAATGATAATATTTGTTTTTCGCCTAGTTTTGAAATTTACATCTATTGTGACTTTACTCATTCCAACGAGATGCTTCTTCGGCATGACACATTTTTTTTATTTTAATAAGTTTGCACATCTTGATCTATTGCAAAAGCTGTCTTTTGTGGTAATAAAAATGTGCTAAAATAAATGCTAAATGTTCAAAACACATTATTATAGTAATTATGTGATGAATTAAAGCAACAACTTTATTTGTTCAAAAATTACACATTTCATTTTAAAACAATAGATGTCGCTTCTTATCTTATAAACAGATTTATTCAAAATTTTATATTAAAAAAAAACTAGCTGTCGCCCGCGACTCTACGCGCAGGATTGAAAAAAAAATTAGTAGCCCATGTTCCAGACTATGTTCTACTTTACATCCATGCCAAATTTCATTGAGATCCACTCAGCCGTTCTGGTGATACCTTCAAACATCCATCCATCTAAACATTCGTATTTATAATATTAATAAGATTTTCATTCAAATTACAATACATTTCTAAATAATGCTCTTTATCAGATGAATGTGAATAAGCCTAGAGTTCTAAAGACTGATTTTTCTCGCTTACAAAGGTTTCTCTTTAACCAGAGTTTCTCGCTTATGGAGGTTGTCCTTTAGGACCAGACAATGACTCGCTTATACTTCTCACTTATAAAAAAAGAGCTAAATAAGACATCAATTATAGCTAAGTATTCGTTTTAGTTATTTTTCTTTATATTTATAGAAACACAAACAACAATATTTGGTGAAAAACTACGTCAGCAAGTTGAAGATCGTCTGAAATTCTATGAAACTGGAGACGTTCCTATGAAGAATATAGATGTTATGAAGCAAGCTATGGAAGAAGCATTACACGAACAAGTACAGCATGAAGCAGAAGGAAGTGCTAAGAAGAAGAAGAAAAAGAAGAAGGCAAAGAAAGAGGAAGAGCCGATGGATGAAGATTGACATTTTTTTCTTTTGATTTTTTTTGTTTAAGAGTATAAATATAAGTAAATAAGTTTATGTGTTTTATTACAATTAGGAGATTACGAACAGTTTATTGACAGTGACATTACGGTGCACATGTCAAAGTAAATTATGACAACTTACGCCCAACTGTCACTGTCAAAAAGTATCACGATGCTTTTCGTACTGTATAGTGTTAGGAAGAAAATTCGACGCTTTGCCGGTGTACTGGCGCAACACTAGCCTTACTAAAATGTCAATTATGTTCCCTCACTAATCATTCTGACACTTGACTTTGTAACGAAAGCGCGCCATTTCGCGCCAAATGAGTTTAATGTTTAAAAATAGTCAAACAATGATTTCTGGTCCGCTAAGATTTGCGCGGGTTCAGTCACAAAATAAGCAAAATCTACTAGAAAGTGATTTTGTGACATTTTCTTGATGTGACAGAGGGGCGCTAGTGAGCTATGTAAACCGAACTATAGTTTTGACTTATGTCAACCGAATCAGATATCCTTGTCGTTCTTCTTTTATGTTTTACATGTTCTCAGGAAAATGCTCGTTAATCCTACAACGTAGACTTTCAACTAATGTGATGTTTGTTTGACGGTATCTCCAGAACGGCTGAAATTTGTCATAGACATAGAAATCGTCTGGAAGAACACATAAGTCGCGGGTGAAAGCTAGCACTTTATAAATCAAACACAATTATACTTTAATCATTTTATTTAACAACTTTTAATAGCAAAACTGCCGTTACAATTGATTCTTACATTAATATTGACCGCAGCGAGCTGAGTGACAAAGAACTTGAAGATATACGGGATGTAGACCGACACAAACTTGCCCTGACCACACAGACGACACGTGTCACTGTTCGTGTCACCCTTGCTGAGTACGGGGCCCAGAAGTGTGCCACATTTAGTGCACATTACAGCCTGCAAAAAATATTCACATAAATGACAAAAGTTTCTCTTTTTTCCACTTACTTCGAACACTCTCGCTTCTCTTTTTTACTCTAACCTCAACTTCTCTTTTCTCACTTTAGTCTATATCATACTTCTCACAGAGTAAGTTCTCACACTGACCTCAAATTCTCATTTTGAACTCTTTCTCTTTCTCATACTAACCTCAACTTCTTTCTCACATTGACCTCAAATGCTGCTTGTTCACTTCATTCGCGATAGGAGTGAGAAAAAGAATTTGAGGGATACTTATGTTATACCGACCTCAAATATTTCTTTCTCATTTCAATTTCTATCTCTCTACTTCTCTTTCTCACTCTGACTTTAACACTCACAACACAACTCTCGCACTTACCTCGCTCTTGTCTGAGCAGTCGAAGAGCCTGTCCTGCAGCAGGAATGCCGCGCCGTGTGAGATGAGCGCGTCTCTCTCCATCTCCCCCAGTCTCACACCACCACCTCGTCTTCTTCCTTTCACTGGTTGACGTGTTAGTGTATCCACTGCGCCGGTTGTACGGACCTTGTGAGATATTCAAATTAGTATTTTTCAATCAGATTTTAATATTTTGTGTCTAGATTTACTAATTTAGTTATATTCTGTATGAAATGTAAAGCTAAATTTAAGAACATGGTCTAGATATTTCTTGGTAAAATGTGATAGTGTATTTCAGAAATTTTTGTTCCAGCTCTAAGACAAAAAAAACACTTTTTGAATAATGAAATATGGGAAAATTCGAACTAATTTAATATTTTTGTAACCATTCAATATAAGCACAAAGCTTGTTTGTTCAAAAGTCTGATAGGAATCGAACCCATGACCGTGTCATCTGTAATCAGTCACTTAAATTATAAAGAAACTTATTGTTGGTTTCTGAGACGAAAATCTGTTTTTTTTATATCAGAAGGTGGCAAATGAGTGGCGACCTGAAATCTCTGAAATAGCGAAGTGACCGTTGCCCATAGACCATTTGCATATGCGTTGCTTGCCTTTAATCGACGGAGGAGAGGATGCACAGAAAGAAAATATATTTTCCCTTTTCATGCATCCTCTCATCCGGAAAGTCCACTTCCACTTCCCATTCTTTCCTTATAAGAAAAAGGATGGGAAGGGAAAGAGGACTAAATGAGGCCTCCGGGACGCACACTCATCAGACGCAACGCGGAATAGCTTCCACGTCACGCCTGTCTTCTGTGTGGTCGTGGTATTTCACCGGACGAGCCGGGACAATTCGTGCGAAGATGTTAAAGCGGGCTCTACCACTGTATAAAACATCTCTTTATTTTTATCAAAACAAAGATAATACAAGTAATTCGGCTTAAGAAATCAATACATATTAAAAATTTATATTAAAATATTGGTTAATTTGAAGGAAGTGGTTTAACTGTACCTGCCACTTATCAGACACCATATGCCTTAAGCGTTGATAATGAATAACACCAAAGAATATATCAGCTTGCATCTCGCGGCCATCAACTCCGCTGTAGAGACGTTCAGTGCCGTGATGCTGGTACCCAGCTGCAGACAGCAGACGACCAAAGTGTTCTATTGCTGTGTCTTCTTCATTGAAACGGAATGGTGTCGCATCGTGTACCTAATAGTTTGTATCAGACGTATGGTTTGTAAACGCTTTTCAAATTATATATCACTAGCTGTCGCATGTGACTCCGTCCGCGTGGACAAAAACATAATTAGTAGACAATGTGTTCTTCAAGACTATTTTCTATATGTATGACAAATTTCGTTCAGGAAATATCTTCAAACATCCATCCATTTAAACATTGACATTTGTTAAAAGGTGAGACATTATAAGGGGGTGTCCATAAATTACGTGAGGTGTTTAAGCGCGAAAAAGGAGTTGTAAAAGATTGAAAAGGGGATTGGAAAATTGTAAGAAAATTACATTTTAAGCTGTTATTTTGATAAAAACAAATATTAAATTGATTTTATAAGATATAATAAAAATATTATAAGAGTAAAATAAGTAACCTAAATAATAAAGAAGTTTGACGCGAACAAAGTCGCGGGCACAACTAGTAATGTTTGACTCACATGTCCATGCAGACTGGCGGCTTTCCCCGCCATACATTCGATCATCATGGCGATGGTCATCCGCGAGGGGAAGCCGTGAGGGTTGAACAGGATGTCGGGGATGAGACCCGACTCTGAGAAGGGCAAATCTTCAGCGGGCCACAGCTGAGAGCAAATACCCTTCTGACCCGCGCGAGACGCAAACTTATCACCGACTGTTGGGTTACGCTGGAAAAAAAATACACATAAAAATTGTCCGAAAGCGTTTTTTCGTCTAATTTTCGGATTAGACATATTATTTAGTTACAGTTAAACCTGGATAAACAAGAATCCTCTTTAAGAGAGAGTATTTGACCTAAGCACCTTCATGGGCGAGAAAGTGGTTAGCGAGAACTGTTTATAATCGAAGTTATTGCTCGAAGAGCAACCTCCAAGAGTGAGAAACTTAGTTTTTACCTAGAATCTTTTCTAAGCGAGAGTCATTGCACTAAGAACCTTCATGGGCGAGAAAATCTGCTTAGCGGTAACACTCTATAAGCGAGAATCATTGTCTTCGGACAACATCCATGTTATTTTCCGAAGAACAACTTCCATAAGCCAGAAACTCCGGTTCCCAAGAAATATTTATAAGCGAGAGTTATAGCCGCAACAACGACCTCTAACAGCGAGAAACCGAATAATTAAGTGATTGCCTGAAGAACAATCTCCACGTGCTAATAACCTATAAAGGTTATAAAAGCGAGAATTATTTCCCGAAAAACAAACTCCTTGGGCGAGAAACTTAAGTGAGAGAGAGAGAGAGAGAAAGGGTAACCTAAGCGAGAAAAATATACCAGGAAAAAATATGATGTGTGAAGAGTTACCTGTATCCTGAGCATGATGCAGGCCTTGCGGGGCGCGCGCGCAGAGAAGTCCCCGCAGAGGCGCACGCTGTCCACCACCACCTCCTCCTTGCCGTGGTACTTGCTCACCACGAACTGACTCTTCTCACCGTCGTAGAAACTGTACCGAAGTTCACGAGATATAATAAGGTAACAGTATATGAAAAACGATTTTAAAAACTATTCCTAAATAACAGAAATCGTAAAAAAAATTATGTTGTGTTTTATTTTTTTTACATTCTATGTTAATATTTTATTTATTTTATGTCATAATTATATTTATATGTTTTTAATTTTTGTAAATAATTTAATTGTTATTAAAAATGTTGGCAACTCACCAGTAAAGTGGATCTTCAGGTTGTACCCGTGCCCCCACAGCAGGCAGACCATCCTCATCTATGTGAGTCACCAGCTCGGGGCGCGCGGGGTCACGCCAGAAGTACGAAGACGAGTGCTTCAACTCGATAAAGTCAGATTTGTATACAAAACCCGCTGCAAAACCACGTTCGTACGCTGATTTGTTGATTATCATCGCGTCTTCCATATCATAACCCTGAAACAAGAGTTATTAATTAACGAACTCATAAGTTTTTCTAAAACTATAGAGAAGAAATAAAAAAAATACAAAATAGGTTAAAGTTCAAAAGCAGTACAAGTCACGATGGAAAAAATATTACTAATTGCAAAGAGTAAACCCCCAAATCTGATCAAATGCCACCCCCAAAATGAAATTAAGTCCCCCAAATGATGTCATGTCCCTCTCTCAAGCAAGCACCCCCCAAATACGTGATTAGTACCGTATAGGGGCAATCCGTCCAAAAGTAACAAAGCCCCACAATTAAAGTCAACACCCCCCAAATGCACACAAGACCCCCAAGAATATAACTTACAATATAAGAAATCACAAAAACGATAGCTTCCGTGACGAATGGGTGATTGATTTAAACATATTCAAGCCCCCCATTTGAAATAAAGACCCCCAAATGCACACAAGACCACCAAGAATGCTTACCGTATAAGAAACAACAATAGCTTTAGTGACGAATGGGTAATGGATCCAAACGTATTCAAGCCCCCCAAATGAAGTCAACAGAGGTGTCGACTTAATTTGGGGGGCTTCATTGGGGGTTTTCGTCAAATAAGACCCCCAAGAATAACTTACCGTATAAGAAATAACCGCCACTATAGCGTTAGTACCACAAGGGTAGTCATCCAGTCCTATATTATCATAGTGCGTAGGTCGGAAGAGTGGTGTAGCGGGGGTTTGCAGCCGGTATAACTTGGTCTCCGCATTGGTACCCCATGTATGGATAGGCGTGCCCATCGTTTGCTTACCCATTTGACACTGGTACATGTTACTAAAGAGAGAGATAGTTCACATAATATATTAAAAGACAAAAGTAAGTAAAACAGAATTAAAACAAAAAAAATTTAACCATAAAGGAAAAAATTATTTTATTTGTACCTAAAAAAAAACAATTAATAAGTTAGCCTGTGTGTTCTTCTAGACTAATTTTAAATCTGTGCCAAATTTTAACAAGATCCATGCAGCCGTTTTAATGATATCCAAACAAACATCCATCCATCCAAACATTTGCATTTATAATATTAGTAAAAATTTACACAAATAATCACTTTGTCACTTTTTAGAGTAAAAAAAGAATTTATTGGATTTTGATAGCTTTTCCTCAAGATACTTGCAACAAGACTCACCGCGGCGACTGGTTGCAGTCAGGCATAGGAACTAATTGCGCCAAGTTGCTCATGAAAGCTGATTTAGACAGTTCTAAATGTGTTGTCCTGCCTGAAATAAATCGTATTACAAATGTACTATCAAGGAATCTGGCGGTGTTCCATGATAAAAGCAACAGTCGATGTCGCGTCAAAACACGGAAAAAAATTAACAAGACGCAGTTTTTTAATATGTCTGAAAGATCAGTCATTGGTACACTAATAACAGCTTTTTTACTATTAAGCCGTTGTTTGCGCAACTCACTCCTACCTTATTTGTTATTTTGTAAAAAAAGGGGTGAAGATTGCTTTGTTTCAAGGAACAAGGCAACTATTCTGTACGTGGAACACCGCGAAGGGCCCTGACTTTACATGCTTTAGAAACATTGAGGCGCGTAGTTTAATTTCCTTACCAAGTTAAAATTATTTTTTCTTTAATTTTATAAATGCAAAAAAAAAGTTTTTTTTTAATTTATTAATATGGCGACATTGTCAACAACAATTGAACAACATACATGAAATAATTATTATACATAGTTGCCTCATACCTGTTTCTACTTTCACATGTCTAAATATATTTGCATCTCTTTCACACTCGCGATAAGAATTACCTTTGTATATCTCCTGCTGTGTGACTGCGATGTCCAGGTAGACCTGCTCCATGGTGCCGATCAGCTCGAGCTGACCACTGCTCAGATTGATGACTGGTCGCATCATACGAGCTTCTGTTGTGAACAGAAACACGCCTGCGTATTGCGAACAGATCTACGAGTAAAAAAATAACTCTTAACAGTAAATCTCCGGGATTCTGTGTGTGTCTGTTGTATATGTATTAGTCTTCTTATAAATGGGATATGTGACAGTTAAAATTAATAGTAAGAAATAGCCTGTTAACCCGGTACAAAACTATAACACAAAGATAAGCCTCAAGTAAGAAGTAATTACGTTCGTCGGTTAATAAATTTGTGTCCCTTTCCTCTCTTTTTCTAATAAAGAATTGTTAAGGGGGATTTTCTTACCTCTTTCTTTGGTATGACAACAATTTCTGTAGTAATAGGCATTTCTTCTCCCTTTATTTTCAAAGTACGTAAATACGCGGTGGATCTGTCCACAGTATCTTCTGGGAAGTAGCCCACTAGTCGACCATCGATGAACACAGGATACTTGTAGACATCTTGTGATAACGGTGTTTGTGATACTGAACTGATTGGTTGCATACCTTTTGTACAAAGAATAAATATTTTAATAAAAGTAATAAAAAACTTGATTGTAACTATGAAAATATTTTAAAGTCGGTCTGTGATACACGATTTTTTTTAATATTCTCCCGTCGTTTGCGCAACTCACTACTATCTAATTGGTTAGTATTAAGGCGTAGAATATGTCTCAATGTAAGGCACAAGGCAAATTTTTCTGAAGGTAGAACACCGCGGATTTCCCTGATTGTACGTGTCCGTAAAAATTTTAATCTTTTATTTTTAGCAATTTCTTGATACTTTAAGGCTTTAATAAGGCTGATAAATAATCACTTTTGATTCATCAAAACGTTATAAATATTTTAAAGTAAACTTACCACATTTCTCCAACACAAACGGCAGAGATTCTAATAATTTTGGATCAGGATGTTGTGTTACCTGTATAAACAAATTATTGTCTATGAGAGTCATTTATATCTATGAAATTTTATCTTTACAAAACAAACCAAAGACTAATGTTAATAGGCATGTTGACGAAGAAGAAAAAGAAGAAGGAGACAGAAGGAGAAGAAGACACGTGAGGGCACAGTGCACCGTAGATGTTGACAGGAGCAACCAGTGTTTCCGATGCGGGGTCGACGGACACAAATTCAGAGATTGCAAGGCCAAACCGCACTGCACCATCTGCGCGGCCGCTAAAAAACCCGCGGACCACAGACTTGGCGGCAAGGGCTGCTCGGCTCCAGCGCCCAAAGTCACCCGAGGCGTAACAACACGGCCACCACCACCACACCAGCCGGTACACGAGGTTTCGATGGAGACGGACGATCCTGGAACTAGTCATGGCCCTTCGACTTCTGCAGGCCAATATTAACGCATGCAATGCACGGGCCCAAGACCTGCTCGTCCAGAGTGTGGCCGAGTGGTCGATGCAGGAAGTCGTAGTGTCGGAGCCCTATTTCGTTCCCGCTAGGGATGATTGGTTGAGCGATGAGGACGAGGTGGTCGCGCTCTTCGTGCGCCGGTCCCCGAGTTCTCCGTCTTTTGGTGGGGTTCGAAGGGGCCGCGGCTACGTTAGTGCTACGATAGCAGGGACCCTAGTCGTCGGCGTTTACTGCGCCCCGAGTCGGAGCCTCGTGGAGTTTGAACTTCTACTCGAGGTCGGAGCTCTCGTTCGCAGAGGTCCCCGTTATGTGGTGGTAATGGGAGACTTTAATGCGAGGAGTTCCGCCTGGGGTGACGTAGTCACAAGCCCTCGGGGCGCAGTACTGGAGGAGTGGGCCCTGACTACGGGACTCAGCGTCCTCAATCGAGGCTCAAGACCCACCTGCGTTCGACCACAGGGCAATTCTGTTGTGGATGTTTCGTTCGCCTGCCCAGCGACGGCGAGACGGGTGTACGGGTGGGAGGTTGTGGAAGGTGTGGAGACACTCTCCGACTACCTGTACATCCGTTTCAACATATCGGACTCGTCAACGGCCCCAGTCCACCAGGGGCCGCAGTCGCCTCATCGGGACACTCCACGATGGGTAGTGAGGCGACTTAACAAAGACCTGTTGATGGAAGCCGCCCGGGACGAAACTTGGTCTCCCACGAACACCTCCTTGGGCATAGACGAAAGGGCTGAAGAACTGTGCGCATCGATGACCCGGGTGTGTAACGCGTCGATGCCCCGTCAAGGCCCCCGGCCGCAGAAAAGGGAGGTCTACTGGTGGTCTGCCGAAATAGCCTCGCTACGCAGTGCGTGCGTAAGAGCCAGACGCCAGTTCCAACGCCATCGTCGGAGGAGGCATAGGGACGAAGTTGTCGAGGCGCGCCTGAACGCCTGTTACAAGGCTGCCAAAGGCGCGCTGAGCCAAGCGATACGGGAAGCCAAGGATAGGGCGCGCGAGGAAATGGTCGAGTCGTTAAACCTAGACCCGTGGGCCGGCCCTATCTTATGGTACGTGGCAAGCTCCGGACGCAGGCTCAGCCGCTTACGCAAAGTCTGCCGCCGCAGCTAGTGCAAGAGGTCGTTACCTCCCTATTTCCGCACAGGGAGGCTCACACTCCGCCCTTTAGGATACCGAGGCACGAACATCCTGTGGTTGACGAGGCCATTCCACCTGTTTCCCCTGCCGAGCTCGGGGTAGCCATGGCCAAGCTGCGAACCAAGAAGAAGGTTCCCGGGCCGGACGGCATACCGTGCCGCGCTTGGCCATTGGCGGCCGAGCTGTATGAGAAACGAGTCAGCGAGTTGTTGAGCGACTGCCTTACGCAAGGGCGCTTCCCGAGGAAGTGGAAAAACGGCGCCCTAGTCCTCATTAAAAAAGAAGGAAGACCAGTTGACTCCGCGGAAGCGTACAGGCCCATTGTCCTGTTAGACGAAATGGCGAAGATCCTCGAACGCGTCGTCGCCAACCGCCTCACCAGGCACTTGACCGGCAGTCGGACCGGACCTCAATGAGAAGCAGTTTGGCTTTAGGCCGGGCAAGTCTGCGATACACGCGGTCGAGAGGGTGAAGAGGATAGCGGAGGAGGCCGTAGCCCAGGGGGATGTCGTTCTCGCGGTGTCTATTGACATCGCGAACGCATTTAACACCATCCCCTGGAGTTGCATTGCCGAGGCCCTCCGCTATCATCGTGTGCCGGAATACTTGTGTCGTGTTGTATCCGACTATTTATCGGAGAGGCCGGTGTCTTTTAGGAGTCGGAACGGATGGTGTCGCCACGAAATGTCTTGTGGGGTCCCGCAGGGCTCAGTCCTCGGCCCCCTACTATGGAATGTGGGATATGACTGAGTCCTGCGGGGCTCTCTCATGCGAGGGGTCGACATCACGTGTTACGCTGACGACACCCTTATAACGGCGCGCGGTCCTTCACACTGGAAATGCGCGATCCTTGGGACGGCGGGGGTAGCACAAGTCGT